GCGGTTCATTTCCTATTTTTCCCCCATTTTCAGTTTTGCTTCAAAGCAAATGCTGCAGTGTCTTTGAGGAAATAACTCCAGACCTCCATGAACTTATGTACTTCATGAGGTTTCTTCCACGTCAGAGCTTCGGTTCTCATATTACTCCAGTGGTTATGAGCCAACACTTCATCAGTTACAAGTCGTTTCTAAACAACCATTAGTATTGTGGCTTGTGAAATAGCCAAATCAGCTCTCAGAGGCACTGAGATTTAAATACTTTGGTCTTTTACTTCTTCTTGGCGCTTTAGACATAAGTATCGATTTTCCTCTAGAAAACTAATGAACAGACAATGAAGAACAAATGCTCTCTTTTTACTGCAAAACATAAATGATCTGATATGGAGTTTATCCTCATGTCATAAATAACAGTCTTCAGAAGGTACAGGAGTAAAACCATCTGTAAACAGACCAACATCAGACAGATTCAATATGATGCCTGGACGACACTCAAAAACGATTTTACTGCTTGTTCAATTTACTTTAAATGAGCTAAAGCAATGCAATTCTTCTGTATTACGTTTGAGCCACTAAACTCCGTTAATAAAGATTACCTTCTGTGTTAAGGTTACATAGTTTAATAGTAAAAGTAATAGTTTTTGTTGACAAATAACTGGACATCAGATTTCCCAGCATGCTTTTGCATTGGACTGCAAATGTTGTCCCATTTGCAACTTGTGTTTTTGAGTAAAGGGAAAGATTTGTTAGTGTTTAATGTACAGATATACTGGTATGCTAACACGCACTATTGCTAGCATGCAATATCTTACACAATGATTTAAATTAAGCTTTTGCAACAAAACATTTGTTAAAATTACAGTGTTATAGCCCAGTACAAAAATAAATTAATTGTTCCATTAACAGCAACAAGACAACTCAAACACTGCACAATGCAAACTGAAATGACCTTTAATCTGAAAATCTAAACCCAAACACCCTCAAGTTTACTCCATCTATCAAATCCCAAAGATTGAGCCCTATTAAATTCAAGATATGATGCCATTCATAGGAAAGTACTAAAAAATATGCTTGGCTTGATGCTTCTCAAGATGACCTTCCATTAAAACCCTATAAAACGAGCCAACGTGTGTTAAACATTGTTTTTTTTATGTAAGTGCAACAATTATTAGGCTATGCTACAGACAGAAAATGTTTTTTGTTAGGAGCCAGACAGGAGGCACAAATCTTTGTCAGCAATCTCATTCAACACATTTGCAATAAATACAAGTAATTTACACAATGATAATGGCAAACCAAGCAAGCACCCTCATCAGAACTCAATAGACTCTTTATTGCCTCACAAACGGCCAGGTGGAAACTGTCAGACGTACAACTTTACAGTTAAAAAAGCCAAACAAACATGATTTGTGATCATCAAGTCAGAAAAAAACAACAAAACTCAAAAAAAGCCTCACTATTACAGCATGCTATGGTATTACCAAAGCACTCAAAAAAATTTTTTTTTTATTAAAAAATACAAACAACATGAAACATGGCCCAACAACATGCTAGTACCACGTTACATTTGTTAGTGAGAATTATACTTTCATCTAGCATTCTCTCTCCGTCTTGCCAGCATCAGTGCCATGTGCTCAGCAGATGTGGGAAAACAAGGGCTTTCCTTTCATAACTCAAATATGTTCTGTATAGTGGCTTGACAATATCCGGCGTACAACCTCAACACTCATTAATAAAACTCTGACCCCACTTCACAAAGCCAGGAAGCTCTTCTCACAACTCCAGAAATGTGTTTTCCTTCATGTCAGATTTAAATCAATTATAATGATTTGTCCCAAATAATAGCACTAGTCTCCATCAGAGTTCATATATTTAATGATAAACTGAACTAAATGTTCTCCTTACTGCTGGGTATAATTTGAGCCGATATCAAATGGTAAGAATTTTTTAAAAACCAGCATACAGCCTAAGCACTAGACAGCATCGTGAATTGAGTGGAGATCAAAGATCACTGGCGGCCTCAGATTATTGTAACCGTCACAGCACATTAAAACATCACTCTCTACTTGATCTGGACAAACTGAGTATTATTAGATCAATTTAAGACTGCAGCTTCAATATTTGACCACTGTTTAAGATAAAAATCGATTGCAGTCATTTATTTTTTCTTAATTTCATTCTTCAGAAAAGGTTACAATGATAACCAAGGAAACGCTGTATCGCTGCTGTTCCATAAGCGCCTCCTGCTGTCAGAGAGTTAATCTGCATTTCCATTATCCGCTTATAATACGTGACTTTGGGCTTCTTTTTCTTTTTTTGTTAAATTGAGTGAAAAAATCTCAGGTCACTGGTTGCGGGTTTTTTTTTGTTGGCTAATTTAAAAAAAATATGGTTGCTTGTTAGGAAAATCTGACAAGCAACTCCGTCTCTTTACATTTATGTTTGCCATATTCTTGTCACAATGTGGGTAGATGAGGCACACTGCGATGGGGTAATCCAAAAGGTGAGACTTTAATTATCAATCCAAGAGTGTAATACAGAATAACAGAGGATAAAAATGCCACAACGTAACTTCAAAGCAAGACAGGGGAACTGAGGAAAACACAGGGTATATAAACACATCGAACGTAATTAGGGAGAACTGAAACAGGTGAGGAGTAATCAATCAAAACATGTGAACAGAATAAATGATGATAACTAAATGAGAACAGGAACTGAACCAAATAGCGCCAAACAGGAACTAAACAGAAACAAACACGTGACAATTCTCCAGTGAATTGACTGACACTCTGTATATACCAAGGGCTGTACCAATCCTACCAAACACTAACGGTATATACATTTTGGTTCAAATAAATTTGATTAGGCTATAAATATGTGGCTATGTTACAGCTCCCCCTTAAAGCTCTTGTCTTTTTGTCCTTTTCCATCTCTCCTGTCCTGTTCTGCTCACAGGAGATTGGAGATGAGTGGATGGAGCGCACCTCCCGCTTTGTTGCAGTTTTCTGAATTTTGTAAAATAAATTCTGTTTTTGCTTTTCAAATAAAAGAGTGGTTTATGTTGCAGGCTCATTTATTGGTAATAAATTGATAATAAATAATATTGATGATAATAAATACTCAAATAATATTGGGCTTGTTTTTGAAGCTGCGGTTGCTTTTTTTTTTTTTTTTTCACGAGAATTGGCAACGGTGATTTTCATTCAGCCAGTCTCAACCCTCTACATTGCGAGTAAATATGCAATATCGCATATGCGGCTAAATCTTCACTCTGGGTGATTAAATGATGTCTAGCCAATGGCTAATAAATTCTCAGATTTTACTCGCCAGTGTGTGAGTTGGAGGCTAAGTATAAGTTAGTATAAGACTGAGCAGTGTTTCCCCTAGGTTTACGGCTTGGGGGGGGGGGGGGGGGGGGCTTTTTTTTTTTTTTTTTTTTTTTTTGTGTATTTACATTTTTAAGGCATAAAACATTCATTTAATTTATCTTTTAATTAATGAAAATTAAACAAATACATTTTTTGGGGAAAATAAAGGGGATTTAATATTAGCCTACAATTAAAACATTGAATAAATATTGTATGATTATTCCTTAAAAATAAGGTTTTAATAATTTTAGTAGTAGTAGTAGTAGTAGCCTATAACGTACATTCTACTGAATAATTAGGGCTGTGCAATTAATCGCATGCGATTGTCGTGCGCATCTCGTCAGTAAAGCCGGTCCCGTGATTAGTAGTAAATCTCCATCACCTGCTTTCAGATGGAGCAGCATTTACATTCTACTGAATAATTAGGGCTGTGCAATTAATCGCATGCGATTGTCGTGCGCATCTCGTCAGTAAAGCCGGTCCCGTGATTAGTAGTAAATCGCCATCACCTGCTTTCAGATGGAGCGGCATTTAATACACAGAGCCGTAGTTCACTGACAAGCTAAGCAATATCGCGTTCATAATCAAATGCAATTCATCTGCGATTATGAACGCGATATTGCCTAATTGTCAGTGAACTACGGCTCTGTGTAGTGAATGCCGCTCAATCTGAAAGCAGGTGACAGCTAATATATTTCTGCTGCAATGTCTTCAAGTTAAACCGAACTTTTATTTTGACGGGTTGCCGTGAATACCTTCACATTTCTGTGTGTATATGACGAGGATAGTTTTACTCAAATGAAACGGTCAAATGCTGATGAAGTGACTCTCACAGCAGTTCTGGAGATGTTGTTCATGTATTTATGTCCACATTAGTGAGACGGCAGACGTTAATATCACCGGAAGCGTCACGCGCGCTTCAGTACGAGTAGTAAACAAAACCGCGCGTCTGCGCCATTCATTAACACAGAGACGCGCAGAATTCATATTTAAATAGTCATTTTGCGGCTTACAAATACTAGTGGGAGTGGGAGTGTGCTCACGTTCCTTTGGAATTCTTCAGCTTTTAAGAACTGCCGCTTTCTCTGGTAGTAGGCGGAGCTAATGCGCAAACAACAATCTCATTGGCTGGCGCTCGCATATTATTGTCCCTGTTTTGATTTCAGCAAATCAGCTCGAGTGAACGCACACAACCTCATTAATATTCATGAATCCAGCAGCTCATTAATCCTTAGCGCATTTATATTGTTCTTATTAATAGAATTCGTATCATTATTACCTTATCAGTATTTTTGTTAGTTTTTTCCCAATTTTTTTTTTACAGAAACACTGAATGACCAAAAAAGCGCAACCACCAGCCCAGCTAAAATGTTCAGTTAAAATGACTAATACACATTCATACATGGTTATCAAGTTTTAATTCTAATTACAAAAGTTATATCATTAAATAATACTTGATTATCATATTATAATGCCTGACTGATGTTAAAGGGGTCCTATTATGCTTTTTCACTTTTTCAACTTTAGTTAGTGATTGCTGCCAATCACAACACACACTGGCCCAGCTAACCAATCACAGCACATTTCGTATTTCAGAAGGCGGGCCTTCATTTGATACA